CATTTATCAGTTTAAGCACATACGATTAAATGTAAAAAAAAAAAAATATTTTTAATTGCGGATCCGAAAGATATATTTATTAGTTGCATTGAGTTACGCAAAAATAGTGCCGAAAATCAATCGATTGTGCTGAAGGTGCCGGCTGCTTCTGAAAGGGCCGAAAATGGCACAATGCACACTCATTTTCCATCACTGTCACACATACAATCTCACCACGATTGAGAGAAATAGAGATTGCGCCAATCGCGGTACCGCTAATCCGCTCTTTGTGATTTTGACAGAATCAGCTGTGTGCGTGACGTCATCTTGGTGCAATTGTTGATTGTGGGCATACGAAAAAACCAAATAATAATTTTAATATATTTGCGTTAATATTTCTGCGTGGTTTTAAACAATTATTTAGACATTACAAAGCAAAATGAAGTGTGCCGTGGCAAATTTTAATAGTGAAAACAAAAGGAAAGCGTGCGATATAAGTTTTTTTTCGTTTCCTACGGACGCAAATCTGGCGAAAAAGTGGAAGCAGTTATGACGGCGAGGAGATGCATTAAAGACCGAATCGAGCTATGTGTGCATGAAGCACTTTCCTAGTGAAGATATTGAAAATACTATTTTTAGTGCTGGTATGAGGTAATGCACCAGTGGATAAGGTCGCCAGGCGCTAATTCAAGCGGCATCTTACCGCACTGTTACGTACCTTATACAAAACAGTGGCCAAATTATTATACATTTAAAAGTTCAGCTTAAATTATGTTTTACTTACATAGAATATTTATTTCCAAAGAAGCCACACTCATGCATCCTCTCGGAAATGGTACAAAAGTCATAAAATAAAAGCTGTGGAGTTTATGGTGGTTAGCTACCGTCCACAAATATAAATATGCACTCTGCATGGCTTTTTAGAATGGCGAGTCCAAAAATTCACTTTGCGGCACACCTTCCTTTTTGTCAACATGAAATTGCAAACACTGGTTATACATCCATTTTTTCATGTGCTAAAAATCGTACTTACCTAAATTGCTACATGTCCAAAGTTATTGCCATGTAATATTAAAATTAACACATTTCTCTGCATTGTTTACATATTTTTATATGCGTTTTGGCATTTCTCTCTCGCAATTGCACCAAGATGACGTCACGCAAAAATTACGCTCAAAAATCCTCTCTCATTGGCGCGATCTTGTATTCTATCATTCTTGCAATCTCACTATTCTGTTGACTTCGTTTTCCCCTTCCGATAACTT